AAGCCTGATCTCCAATTCTCTGTTGTTTCTTCAACCTTTTCTCTTGGGTATCAAACCAAGTTTTCAGGCACTGCACACTGTTTTCATATTCTGTCCAGGATTCCAGCATACCTTCCAACAATTGGATCTACAAACAAATACATATGTATATATCCAAAATTAAACAGCTTCTATGTAGAGAAAAGTGAATAATTCAGAGGACATGAATGCTGATCAGAGCTTGACTCAGAATTCAGTGTATTCCTTCACTCAGAATTTAAGCAGAGTACACAGTCAAACTTGATTTTATTTATCCTCTATTAAGTATTAAACAGCAAAGAAACAACTCATAAGTATTTAACTGAGAAGTTACTCTAGTGATCTAGCTTATTGATACCCCCAAATTGTAACAACATGGAAATAGTTTTCTGCATAAAATGTAACACAGCATGGAATTTTCTTCAGGCGAATATTGATACAATGAAACAACATTTACAGTGAAGCCAAATGAAAGCCCAAGAATATTTTAATGTAATTTACTTCTACGCATTTAGGGTTAGCAAAAAGCGTCACTTACTATGGTAATGTGCATTTATTATTTTACTTTAAAAAAAGATTGTAGGTTATTTACTTTTCTATTTTATGTTTGTATAGTGCTTGGCAAAATGGGTTCCTGATTTTTATTGGGACCTTCAATGCTATTTATTATCAAACAAACAACAAAAAGAAAACTGTACTTGTGTAGGGTTTTTTTTTTTTGGCTTTATAAGCAAGAGAAATCAGCTGATGCTCTATTTTAAACTAACAAGTGATGGATGAAGATTGCATGAATCTTCTGAGCACTCCAACGAATAGACACTGGAGAAACAGAAAGTATACACCCACTCTTTGTTTTATGGTGTATAGACTGGTCCATAGGTGTGCATGAGCATTTGAAAAAATTAAGAAATGCATTAAGGTAAATGTAAAACTGAAGGATCTATAATACTATTGGAAAGAAGGTTACATGTCTCTGAGAACACTGAAGCAATTATGTTGACACTAGACATTTAGGTTTGCCAAAGGAGAAGTTCATATTACTCATGACATGCTAAATTACTTTTAACATGTCTGCTCCTGAATGAGTTGCATCTGTTTTTAAATACACACGGAACAGCAGCTGGCTTTTTTCTTACCTTTTCTGTTATGAGGCCTTGGAGGATCTGCCAACGTCTGTTCATTGCTCCAAGCTGTTCCGCAAAATCAGTCTTGTCACTACGTTTACTTTCCACATCCTGGCTGCTAATCTGTAGCACGGACTGGTTCACAAAGTCTACTGTCAACTGTTTGCAATTTACATCAATCTTAAATCCCTGGCAGAAAGAGAGGGAAGAAGAGGAGTATCCATCACCAATTTTCTTGATTATTTCGGAGAGTTAGCATGGAAAATAGACTTTCTGGTTTATGATCTATGAATAAACCAAGATATTAATCTAGACAATATACTACTGAAGAACTAATGTAAAAGTATCAGTCCTTAAAACTGTAGGCATTAACTTCTGGAAAGTATGTTTTAAAAAATTATTACAAACCTGTTCTGGAAAGGATGCTTTCCATGATAGAGGTACACATGTACATTCAACTAATGTGTGTTTGTGCCAGGAAAACCAGAACTGGAGATTTTGTGCATGGTCCCTATACCACCTCCTAGACTCCTCTGAGAAAATAAGGCAAGTCTGCCCATCAGTTCCTTCGCATCAGAAAAGATGCTGTAAGATTCTTCTGGAGAAGGGCATAGGATGGGATGTAGAATACACGTCTGCATCCATATGTCCACGAACAATTACAAAACAGGTGAATAACCATTTTTCTTCTTCCAGAGGTTACAGACATGTATTCTACTGAGGCAACTCAAAAGCAGTACAGTAATTGTGAGGCTACTGAATCTATTTAAGTAACAACTGCAACACATATTTGCAAAATTCATATCCAATTTGGATGAAATGTTGATAGAATAAGGATGAATAAGTGGATATACTGAGGTCCAAGTGGTGTCCCTACAATTGTCCAGCATAGACACATCCTCAGGAAGGTGGTAGATGTATCATGGACCCTTGTTGAAAAGCAGAGAGTCTTTGCACAGGAATACTGGCTACCCTACAGGCTGTTGTAATGCAGGAGGTAATCCACACAGAGATCATCTGCACTGACATGGTTTGGCCTTTCATGCAATCAGTACAGAACACAAAATGATGAGGAGACTGAAAGGCCTCGTTCTGTTCAGACAGAATGCCAGCGCCCTCCAGACATCTAAGGTAAGTAGACCACAATTTGCTGTCATGAGGAAAACCAGGAGATGCATTATCTGATGTAATTAAAATAGTTCAGTTTTTCATTTAACGACTTTGCTGTTACTGCAGGGCTACCTTGTTTTTGAAAAATACTGCATAAGGAGGGCCTGCCATCAAAGCTTCTAGCTTAGATGCTTGCCTGGCCAACATACCAGTTATCTTTTGGCTTAAGTGAGGTGAAGAGAAGATGGTCAAAGGTTCAAAGCCCATCATAGCTGCTAGAGAATAGCAAAGCTCGTTGGAGAGGTTGGTTAAAGCAGAGACAGCCACAAAGTATAATTTCAGAACTCTTAAAAAGAGGATCTCAAATATAGAAGATATTCTGCAGTGTCTTGGATCTTCAGTTTTGAAGGCTGTATCCCATGTTTAGTAGACCAGATGGAAAAGTTTTTTTTCCACTTAAGCAGGTAAATCAACCATGTTGACAGTTTCCTACTGTTAAATAAAATCTCTGGTAATATCTTGGCATTTTCAAAATCCTCTGGCAAAAAAATCCACAGGTTGATTATATGTTGTCTTAAGTAATACTGCCCTATGTTTGTTTTAAACATGTTGCCTATTAATTTATTTTGATAACTCCTAATTTTTTGAGAGATGGGAAACAAATAATGCTTCTTTATTTACTTTCTCCATATCACTCATGATTTTATAGATCTTCTATCATATCTCCCTTAGTCACCTCTTTTCCAAGCTGAAAAATCCCAGTATTAATTTCTTCTCCTATGAATTCTGCTCCAGATGCTTTATCATTTTTATTGACTTTTTAATACAGTTTCCAGTATCTTTTTTTGAGATGTGGTGTCTACATCTGCAAACAGTATTCATGATGGTGGTGTACCATGAATTTATATAGAAATAATAAGATATTTTCTATTTGATTATCAATCACTTTCTTAATGATTCCCAACATTCAGTTAGCTTTTTTGACTGCTGCTGCACATTGAGTGGAACTATCATAAAACATAGTTAATATAAACCCCATAATTTAAATGTATAATTGGTATTATGTTTTCTGCTTGTGCATTACTTTGCATTTATCAACACTGAATTTCATCTGCCTTTTATTGGATAAGATGTGAGGGACACATGTAAGTTGTGAACCATTTGAAATCTCTACTCGGGAAGGAAAAGTGGTTAAAATTGTTCAATCAAACAGGGTCTCAATGAACTTCAGTGGGAATAAGTGTTGATGCTTCCCTATTCAGGGCAAGTCCCAGATAATTGAAATGACCGATGGTAAAGCCATGAACCTGGTCTGGGGATGGCCTTCAATCAACCAATGATTGAGGTGAGGGAAGACATGGATTTTTTTTTCTTAAGCAGTGTATGGTGGTGCTCGCATATTTGGTGAACACACAAGGCACTGATAATACAAAAGGGAGGTAGCAGATACCAACAATGGAGCTACCCATCATAAAATCTGAGGAACTTCCTGGCACTGGACAACATTGCTAGATGTCTTAAAGATTGAAGGCAGTACACCAATTGTTACACTCTAGGGAGGGAATGACTGATGCTGGGGTAACCATTCAGACTCTGACTCGCTTGATAAACTTATTGAGAGCCTAAAGGTCCAATATGAGACTCAGGTGTCCCTAGGACATGGAGATCAGGAAACAACAAGAGTAAAAACCCCATCCCTGAAATCTTAGGGGACCTTCCTCTACTGCCACCACAGTGAACAGAGTCTGAACTTCTTGTAAGAGTATAGACTCATGAGAGATGGATCCCTCAAAAGGGACAGGGAAGAAGGGTGTGGAGGAGGGATGGAAAGACAGTGAATTGGTTATACCAGTCTCTCAGCACTCACAACCTACTTATTTCTAAATATTGGCTTCTAAGCATTGAGAAAGTGAGATAATGTTTCCCCCGAAACAGCAGGCAGGGAATGAGAAGGTCACTGCTGGCTGTATTGCTTTGTGACAGTGGGTTGAGGGGGAGAAGATTAGTTAAAGCTGGGGAAAGACAACCCGCTCTTCTGAGGTTTGTTTCTAACTCAAGATTTCTGTTGCATCCAAGAATAGAAGGGCTGTTAATGGAACTGGTGACAGAATTGCTGTGGAAACATATATTGACACCTCTGGATGGCTGGACTATAGGCTCTTAGGGAGAAGAGCATAGCACATTAATCCTTAAAGGAGTGCAACACGTAGGCAATCTTTGTTTTAAGGCAAGACAGTCTATCAAAGGATAGGTCCTCAAAATGAGGACTAACTGGTACTGTACATAATTCTGGTAACCAGGATGCCCTTTTGAATATGATTACAAAAGCAGTCACCCTGGAGGAAGCATGTGTGAAGCCTGACATCAAGAACTGACTGGTGCAGGGTATTTGCAACCAGCCAACCCTCTGCTCAGAAAGCCCTTACCTCTTCTTTTAAATAGTCTGGCAATTCATCTGAGTACTTAAGACATTGCCTCCTAGTTGGGAAAGTCATATTTTGCTAAAAAGCATATTGATTCACTCATCACATGTGGAGCAAGGCAGTGGATAAATGTAGTCTAGTGGCACTGCCAACACTTCCACTGCTTACTGGGTTCTTCAAAGACATTTAGGGATAAATTAGAGCTAAATAACAGTACAGAACACTGAAGCCAGAACTAGTGGCTGTAAACAAATTTTATAAGACGATGGGAAACTTGGCCAGACCCATAATAAGTGGACATCTGGCTAATTAAAATCATGCTGGACCATGGATGTTGCTGGAGCAGAATGCTTCAACATCTAGAACTACATATGCTGAAACTGACCAAAAAATGTCATGCATTTGCCAACCACCACTTAATTACCTTATACTTCTGTAGATAATCCTGTATGGCTTTATGTCCTACTACATTTTTTATATTCTCCTCATCCTCCTGAATGACATTCTCCATCAGAAAAATCCAACTCATGACTTCCGTGATGGCATGACGAGAAGGAAGCTTGTCCATCTGAAGCTGTAAAGGCAAAAGATTTTAATTAACGACTTTCTGTCAAGAGAATGGATAAAGCCCTTTGCTTTGTTAATTCATCATAGTCTATCTTTGACCTTCAATGCTCAGTGGAGCAGGCTGGGACTAGGCACTCTGCTTCCTGCCATTGCAGTGAAGTGGAGCATAGTGGACTGGATAGTGGTGAGGCAGAGTTGACCAGGCTGCTGGGTAGCTCTGCTCCCATTGATAGGGCGAGTGTGCAGGAGGGAGGAGAGGATCTGCTGCTGGTCCATGTCAGGACCCATCAGGTAATCCCCTGGGCCATCCTGGGCCCTGTGGTACCATCCATAGGATGATTGAGGTGGCTATCATGAGGCCCCCCCAAAATGCAGGGCCTTGGGCTGCTACTCCGAAAGGTCCTATGAATGGCTCAGCGCTGAATATGGAAATATATATACTTAAAAAAAGCTTGAGGCATTTTGCTTCACTTTGTAAGATAAAATGTAATACAGGCAGTCCCCGGGTTACGTACAAGATAGGGACTGTAGGTTTGTTCTTAAGTTGAATCTGTATGTAAGTCGGAACTGGCGTCCAGATTCAGCCGCTGTTGAAACTGACCTCCAGCTCTGACTTACATACAGATTCAACTTAAGAACGTACAAGAAAAACTACATCAGGTAGGGAGAAATTTACTACTTCTACACCAAGTGGTGTTCAGGAAAGTAATAAGTGAATTAAAAGCTTTTGCATTTGAAAAATTTAAAGTGCATCTGGTTGTGACAATGGATCCAATGGCATTACCTTCCTGTTAAGTTTCAAATTCTGACCAATTCAAGTTAAACTGTATTCTTGTTGTAGTCTTTCTCCTCACAAACCACCATGTCTCTTGGCATAATTGGCAATCTCTAAAGAGAGGTGATCATTCCCCTCCAACCTTCTAACCTAGACTGGGGTAGAAGTTTTAATAATGTGCAATGGCCAAGTTCTATGTCAAACCTTACACACTGTGTATCCCACCTTGTGTGTGCTAGGAGTCCTTTGTTTTCACAAAAGTACAGCCACAGTACAGGCAGTCCCCGAGTTACGCAGATCCGACTTATGTCGGACCCGCAGTTACGAACGGGGCCCTCTCCCTGGTCTCCAGCAGACCAGGGAGAGGAAGCAAAGCGGCGGAACACGCGGGCAGCAGACAGCCCAGACGCGCGTCTGGGCTGTCTGCTGCCCGCGTGTTCCGCCGCTTTGCTTCCTCTCCCTGGTCTGCTGGAGACCAGGGAGAGGGCCCCGTTCGTAACTGCGGGTCCGACATAAGTCGGATCTGCGTAACTCGGGGACTGCCTGTACTGTGGCTGTACTTTTGTGAAAACAAAGGACTCCTAGCACACACAAGGTGGGATACACAGTGTGTAAGGTTTGACATAGAACTTGGCCATTGCACATTATTAAAACTTCTACCCCAGTCTAGGTTAGAAGGTTGGAGGGGAATGATCACCTCTCTTTAGAGATTGCCAATTATGCCAAGAGACATGGTGGTTTGTGAGGAGAAAGACTACAACAAGAATACAGTTTAACTTGAATTGGTCAGAATTTGAAACTTAACAGGAAGGTAATGCCATTGGATCCATTGTCACAACCAGATGCACTTTAAATTTTTCAAATGCAAAAGCTTTTAATTCACTTATTACTTTCCTGAACACCACTTGGTGTAGAAGTAGTAAATTTCTCCCTACCTGATGTAGTTTTTCTTGTACTACTGGAATTTGTGTCAGTAACTCTGTCCACTGGCTGTCAATCTGTGATAGTCCTGCACGCAATGCTGCTGTATCTACTTTCTTCAGCCGAAGGAGCTGGTTCCCAGTGCTTAAAACAGAAGATTTCTGGGATGATTTGGCATCAACCTCTTTAGAAAACTCCTATAAAAAGATCATAATTTCACCAAGATAGATAAGTGATATTAACCAACTAAAACTAATTTTATTCCTTTACTCAAAGGAAACAACTTATTTTAAAATACGTATATATTGGACTTGGTAGCATCTTTTTAAAGAAAAGTACAAAATCTTTATACAAGCATGAAAACCATCACATCTTACAATCAGGACAAACAACAGGGCTTACAAAGTATGTAGGATACTTACTAATAACTTTGCTCAGACATTCTGTATTTAACAGTGCTGTTTAACATTCAGACATTTGAGGGGTGGTTTTTTTTAAAAAATTAAGCAAGTTATTGTACAGCTGTTCTACACTCACAGAGATAACAGCAACATTTTGTGGATAACATATGCATAAATCTTATGGGAATAGCACCATTTGTTTGCAATCAGAAATGAAAAAGTTCTTAAGATTCCCAAAGTGACTCACCAGAAAAGCATTCAGGTGGTCTCTCACCATTTCAAGTTCTTGAGGGACTGTCACTGACTGCTGAGTCCAGAACTCCAGTCGGTCCATTGCTGATTGTAACCAATGAATCAGCTCAGCTGATTCATTCTGATATCTGTGAGGATGTTAATAACAAAAACAGTCATTGCCAACCCTTGCCTCTAGTGCAGTCTGGCAACAAAAAAGATTTTCCACAGAAAGCCTAATTTTACAAAGACCATCTTTTGTGGATTTTCCTAAAATCCACAAAAGGATCATACCATCTTAAAAGTCTTATAGAAAGTTGATAGGAAATTTTTAATTGTGATGGCCTAAAATTAGAAGCATTAAAACAGTTAGTTACAGAAAGGTACTTTTTGCTATTTTCTAACAATCCCCACCCTCTATCCAGAAGCAAGACAGATGAAACCTATTTTGTCAGATTCTGCAAGAAGAGATCTAGTAACCATGGCCTACAGTTCGTGAAGAAAAGTCAGATTACAAAGGCTATAAATATTTTCCTGGTTTGACAGACTATACACTGAGGCAAGCTTACATGACTGATTCTAGAAAATATGAAGGATACAAAATGCCTCTGCTAGAAGCAAACATCTTAATGACAGGGTCTTACCATTCTGTATGCCAGCCAATTCGCTCAGTGTTATTAAAGATAGAGCTTGACTGTCTCTATATACAATGCTGTACATAAGGACCATGGATTCAGAGCTCTCAAAAAGAGCAAAGGTTAGTGTAGTGACAAATCAGCCCACTTTATATCAGAAACATGTATGGGCATGTATTTTTTATGGCACACATTTTTTGAGAGTTTTTATGGACAGAAGAGAATCAGGTAGCACTATGGGGGCAGAGGTAAAGTAGTTTGGGAAGTGCCACTTAAATATTCATTTCCTGGAATTAAAAATCTAACACCACCACCAATGAACTAAGAGTTTCTGAAAACATAGCTCTCCTTGATTCTAATGGCACAGTACCAGAACCTCAGTCTCGTTAGCAATACCTTGTCCAGTGCTTTAGTATAGTCTCCAGTCTGTGCAGTTCCTTGGTCACTTTGCTGGTATTATTTAACCAGTGCTCTCCTAACTGGTTCAACTGACTTTCTAGATCTAAACAGCTGACAGAAAAAAGCATTTTTTTCCCATCATCCAACAGCTGGAAAAGCTTGGGCTGGTGTTCAGTCAGGCTAGATTTCAAGTGCTGTAATGACAGAGGACAGGAAAGACAATTAGAATAATAGATTCTCAATACCCCATTTTTCTTTTGCTGGGCTGTGTGGTATATTAAACTCCCTCCCTGTTTCCAAGGACTCTCTTTTAATTCAAACGCTAAAGCTCAAGAAGACAGAGCATGAAAATGGCTTCTGGACCTCCATGTTCATCATTTACCATGCCAGAAAGTTGCTCTGCTTAAAATGACACTTGTGACAGGGTGTTTGCATGTCTGAAATTTCAGGGAAGCTTGTAGACACCGACAGTACTACTGAGAGAAGCAGAATAAAACACAGAACCCAATCGTTGGACTGCTAAGCATCCTTGACATCAATGGAAGTAAAAAGCACTTAAGAGTGTTGCAGGATTAATGGTCAAGTCTTGTGTTTCCTGCAATGATTCCCCACAGCCACTAGGTTTTCTGTGTGACCCCTCCTTCCATCATCACCAGGACTTTCAGCTGTACATATGCACAAAATAAAAGTTCACTCAACCTCTTCAAGGCCAGAATCCTGGATCTAATGGATGACTTGCCAAATGGATGGCATTAAAGCTTCAGAGGAGCACCGAGGGCAGGAATAGGCAGCAGGCCAACCGCCCCTCCCCCTATGCCAATGATGAAATGGACAGTGGCAGTTTGCCCCAAGGGAAGAAGCTAGATGAGGAATGGCAGTGAGCCACTGAGGCTATGTCTAGATTATGGAGTTTTTCCAGCATACCAGAATGGGTCTGCTATTCCGACATTTTTTGCTCTTTCGGAAACCCTGTCTTCCTTGTGCCGTGAGGAAGAAGGGCTCTTTCCAAAGAGGAGGTTTTTCTGAAATTTGGCCCAGTGTAGACAGGCCAATTTTCAGAAAAGCCTCTTCCAACAAAACTATCGGGAAAAGGTACACAAATTGCAGAGCGCAAGTTGTGTACCTTTTTCTGATAAAAAGCGGCAGTCTAAATGTAGCCTGAGGCAAGAGGTGGCTTAGGGGGTGATTGGGTTCCCTGAGAGGGAAGGAGATACCAGACTGTGGGCACTGCTGTATGGGAGTGCCCAGGCATAGGGGCAATTACCATAGTTGGGAGAAAGGAGGCAGAGCTATCTGTCATAAATTATGTAACTGGGACAGAACAACACCTGAATCATTGGTACAGTATAATTTAGGCTGGACAGTTAAGTGGATGAAAGGAAAAGAGCATGGGCAAGTTGAAGTCTTAAACTGTGCAGAATGGGAAACTAAATCTGAATTTTTTATTGAATGGGGGAGAGGGCAGTCTTTTGACCCTGACTGGTAACATAAATGTGTATGCATTTTTGAGAGACACTAGTTAAATTGATGGCTTACACACATTAAGTAAATTTAGTTTAATTATTTGGGCTAGTCATAAGAGTTTTAGTGTCACATATTCAAGCATCCTCCCAGGAAGTCCACAGAATATGGCAACGTTCTAAGGGTGCAATAGTAAAACATATCAAAATGAGCACACAGTAAGGGGGGAAAAAATCTCTTGAGCACAAAATGCAGAAGGAAAGACAAAAATATGAAAAATACTAGTGTAGAAGAGCATCAAAATAGCTCTAAAGTTTTCAAACTACAAGGAATCACCTAATGTTCAGTTGGTAAATGGCAACGTAGTCTAAAAAATTAATCTATAGTTACCCACTCAACTCTGCAATGACAGCATGAGAAATCTATTTGAGGATGGCTCTTCCTCTGGGCTGGACTATCCTGTCAGTTAGAAGATCATCAGGAAAAACAAAAGGTAGGCCTGGCTATCAAGACAGACAGAATAAAGTAAAAGACCTTTCTAAAAAATGAGAGCAAGAATGCAAGATTTAGTACAAATCCCAGACAAACTATCTTTTATGTGGTTAAGACATTTATGATGAATGATCAAAAAGTCCATCATGTTTGAAAATCCCATGCTGCCACTGACCTGATAAAGTGTGATCCGATCTGTAAGCCTTTCCTCTGTCTCCTCTACCAAACCAACACTAGGAATGCTACTTTCGACAGCCTCCAGCTGTCGGGTCAGTTCTTGATAGTCCTCATCCAGACGTGTCCAGGTCTGCAAGAATAATTCATGTATGCATATGGTGAATACTTGCTTGAGGGTTCTAGGTTTTGATTTGCAACTAAACGTAAAAATATTATTTATATCCTTTATGTAAATTTCTCCAACAGTATTTCTCCAGCTCCAAAGGAAACACACAGTGTATATATAACATTACCTCTCCCATAAAGGCTCAGGATCAGCCTTTAGTCATGTGACTCATCACAAATTTCTGCTTGGAAGCTGAGATTCTCTCACTCTTGATTGGTCAAGACCTTTTAGCTTTGAAAATTGGTATATAGCAAGCAGTATTAAAAATTTAAAAAATAACGAAGCGTCTTGCAGCACCTTAGAGACTAAGAAAAAATATAGATGGTATGAAGAAGTGGCCATGACAACTCCTGATACCATTTACATTTTTTGTTAGTGCTGCAAGACACTTTGTTATTTTTTAAATTTTTCAGTTACAGACTAACACTTGTCTCTGAAACTTGCTAATAGTATGGTGTGGCCGCTGAACCTGGTGCTCACATTGCTTCACAATATATAAGCATAAAAGACTTCACCTAACCCTCCATTCCCCACTTAGGGGGATATGACCTGAAGGACCAAGGTTCACTAGCACTACCCTCCCTCTCCAAGTACATCCTTAATCATGCATCATTACATGGGAAGTAGCAAACAGAGAAACCTCTCACCTCTAAAATGTATTCCAGCTCAACACCCCGCTTATGAGCTTGTTTTAACACAGTGGAGGCTTGTGCCATCTCTTTCGTATGTGACTGGGTTTCACTCATGAGGGCAAAACTGCTTATCTTCCTAAACAGTGTTTCTGTCAGGACCATATGAGATTCTAGACCCTGGAAATATTCCTGAAAGGATTCCAGAAAACAAAAAGATCAAAGGGTATCCGTTAGACTTAAGCCACCATAAAATAAAATTACCAAAGTCAAAGATGCTACAATACTATTGTGAGGGAGGACATAAGGCTACATCTACATGGTGCCAAATTTCAAAATAACCCGCTATTCCAAAATGTCTGTTACTCCTCGTGGAATGAGGTTTACAGGGACGTTGGAATAGCAAGCCCGAAATAACAGGCTTGCTCTTAAGATGCGAGATACCTGAGTATCCCAAAATAGCATTGCAGTGTAGATGTAGCCTAAAAGTACTTGGAGATGTGCAATTTAGCTAACTTTCACTCCCTACTAATAGCCACACAAAATCTCATTAACACTGGAGAAAGAGTTAATGTTTAAAATACACATTCTGCCTTAACTTACCACATACCTGGTTTCCACAAGGTATATCAAAGAAGAATTTGGGTCTAATAACGTAAGAAGTTTTGGTGTACAAAGCAGACAATATTCCTGTGTTTGTCGAAGCCAGTAGTGAACTAAAATCTTATCTAAAGAAATCAACATTAACTAGTGTATAAATCAAGCTACTTTTCTTTCCAAAGTTTACAGTGAATGCCCGACTATAGCTTGATCCTGTTCAATAGCTTGCTTTCAAACCAGAATACTGAATGCAATGATGCATTCCAAAGAGACTCCATCTCTGCTATCCAGCACAAAGACATCAGACTTGTTATTCAAAGTTAGAATACACTAGAATGAGTGAGAAAGTGGCTACTATCATATATATATATATATATATATATTTACTTACTTCACGATACTTGACAAAAAAATTCTAGGCTACTCACTGATGGTGCACTCATATTTTTAATGCACCCTAAACTAACAGTAAATCATCAACAAAATCCCTGCTGCCTCTCCAAGTGTGAAGGCTGGCTATAGAATGGTCAAAAGTTAGTGGCGTGCAAGACAGATGTTTTTCCTAGTCCTCAAACAGTTTTTTAAAATGAATATGCAGTTTTTACCTTGTGTTTGTCTAGTAGCATTTGGACTTCCTCCTTAGAAACAACAATAATTTTCTGGTCACCTGCCATCTTTTCTTGGCCAGTTTCTATCAGGTCAGCCAGGTCCTGCAAAGCTCGTTCATACTGACCCTTGAGGGCTAGATTCTGGTTCAGCCCACTGCGTCTGGATCCAATGATCATCATCAGTTCATCATACATGTCCTTTGGGAGACACAAGCAGCAAGTGTGTTCCTCATTTCATGCACACTCTTCCTGATTACTTAAAAGCCAGCACACTGACAATGTGCTCACTCTCTTCAGAGGTGGTATTCACTGTACCATAATAGTGCTCTAGTGAAGACACTACTACATCAATGGGAGAGTTAATCCACCATTCTGAGAAGCTCTAGCTATGTCTGCAGGAGATACCCTGCTGCAGACATAGCACTAAGTACATGGAAGGGTGGGGATAAGGTCACTATAACTATTATTTCAGGGGTGTGGATTTTTCACGCCATTGTGCAAGACAGTTGTACCCATATAGAGCTAGTGTAGACCTGGCCTAAGTATCTGAGTTGGGAACATGCACAGGGAGCAAACAGACATTAGGTAAAGGCACACTGGCTCTGTGTTTATAGAGAAAAATAAGTGAGAATGGCACCATTCTTGAGGATCTCATGTATAAGAATGAAGTTAACTTCAGGGGCCTTGCTTGAGTAACAGCACAGCTGGAGAAAGGAGGACAAACCCAGACACATTCAACTTCTCTTTCAATTATACTAAGACCCATTTCCACTGCTCTAGCATGGCAAGAGGCCTCAGGCCAGATGCACGCTACAAATTTAGATTGTATAACTATGTCAAGGGGTTAAGAAAAGTCTATCTCCATGTATTCGTACTGACTTAACCCCTGTGTGGGCAGCACTAATTGATGGGAGAGTTTCTCTCATTGACAAAGCTATTGCCTCTCAGAGAGGTGGGCTTATCTACAATGACTGGAAATGGTGTATCTTCTTTGAAGCGTTACTGTTGTATGTGAAGACAAACCCTTACAATCAGCAGAAAAGGACTCACAGAATTTTCCCTCCAGAGTGCTTGTTCCTGGCCAATGCAGAATTGGCATAAAGACTAATCCAATGCTGCCAAGCAGAGGGGAAGTTCGTGAACTATGGGCATTCCCTGACTTCCTAGGCCCTCAAACAGTAACCACTCCACAGCACCTTCTTTACATGTAACTATCACAGATTACTAAGAACAACGGAGATGACTCAATAAGAAAGCAATCCAAGGAAAATCTCCATCAGTTGGTAATAAGAGGAACACTAAGAAAAGATGGCTTATTATTTCTCTAAACTATAAGTCAGCTCCTCGTCTTTTAGTATTTTTAAAAACAAAATTACTCTGCTTCCAACAATTTAAAATGACCCCTTTGTAGCCCACAACTATAACAGGAGCTAGATAGGAAAACTGCAGTCTGAAGTGTTAAGCAAAATGACTATCCTAAGGCTGTAGATGGCTGTGTCTTCCTGAGTGAAAGGGAGAGCTGGCAGGGATGTCTGCTGGGAGAGGCTCCTATAAGAGAGGAAAGCCAAAGTAGACAGTTCATGGATAACCACTCAGGATGACTGTTAGAGGAAGAAGACTGATTTCCCATCTTCCTGAATGTTAAGGACCTAACCAACAGCAGGTTCTAACTATATCTCAGTATAGATGGACATGAGCAATTGAAGTCTCTCTTTTGTTTTGTGACTACATGGCTGTCTGTTGAGCTAATAAATGTCCATTTCCTCTCTAAAGTTTAGCTGCTTCCTTTGCTTCAAATTTCCTATTACCTCATATCTGACAGGCCAGGCTTTCACTAGGGGGCAATGTCAAACCAAGGTATGCACCTCCAACTACGTGACCAGTAGGCATATTAAAATGTGTTTAATTTTGTAAATGTGGAACTGCTGTAAATTTCAGCATTTACATGCAGGGAAGCAGGTGGGAGCCAGTGCTTGTGGGGAGCTGACTTTTAATCCAGCTGTCAGCAAGCACCAGCTCCTGCCTGCCCACTCCTCCTCCCACTTTTCCTGTAGGAGACAGCAGCACGGGAGTAGGGCAGACAGTCCCGCCCATCCCCTTCCCTTGCTACCTTTGTGGGAGGCAGCAGTAGGAGTGAAAGGGTACTGGCTCCCACCTGCTTCCTCTGATACAGGGGAGGGCTATGTGCAACTGTTAGAATTAACTGATGAGCCCAGGCTCATCAGTTAATTGTATAAACAGCTACATGTTCAGATCCCTAGTGAGCAGCATAGTTGGAGTCAACGTACCTTAGTCTGAGTTACCATGACATTTCCAATGCAGGGGGTCGACAGGAGAAACTCTCCTGTTGACTCCTCTTCTCATTATAGTGGAGTACAATTGGAAGCACGATTGGTGGGTGATTTAGTGGGTCTTTACTAGACCCACTAAATCAACCCCTGGGAGATTAAGTCCTGCAGCACCAATCTCCTGGTAAGAGTAGACAAAGCCTTATATTACTCTGTCCTTGTTCCCAAGCACTTTCACTGAGGTAAGCCTGCTGATTTCTAGGTCTTTGTCATAGCCAAAAGGATCCTGCAAGCACAGAGCTAATCGAGCCATTGAATGTGCATAGCTATTCTGAATTACACTTCATATACAGTCCTTCAAGCTGCAGGAGTTCATTAAGTTTTAGTTGACGAGACTCCAGGCACAGTAGATATACACACAGGGTTTCAGAAAACAGGTACACCGCTCTCTGAAATAATTCTATTCATATGGAACATAAGAGGTCACAGAGCTCTGGAAAGAACAGAGGCCATTACACAGTAAATGTGCACATGCTTAAATTTGTTCACCTGAGTGGCCAATGGGACTCCTCAAACTGGAAGATAAGCATGTAGGGATTTGCAGGTTCAAGGCCAAAGATGCTACAAAGTATCAAATAAGGAGGATGTTTGGAGAAAATTATAAATCTCTTTTATACACAGTGAAATACTTTGAGACATAATTTTGCAAATTGTCCTATGTACAATAACATAAAGACAGTTTACATATATCCTAAGTATTAGTAGATAGTTATTATAATGGATTTTCTGAGGAAGGGGAAATATACCTGGAGCTTGGACAGTTCTTGCATGGAAGGCTGGTCTATCTGTAGCTTGTCCCCATGCTTCTTTAATTTGCTGATTCCAGCATCCAATTCCTTCAGACATTCTTCTGCCTCCAGTATAGCCTGTATCAGGGAATTGCAACATTTAGCTAGAAGGTTTCACAACAATCTTTTACCTGCACTACATGATTACCATTTACTTGAGCTATTTAGGAAATGAAGTGTTTGTGTCCCCCCATTTTTAGAATAGAGAATTTCGTACTTTTGGTGTTTCACCAAGAACCCTAAAAAAAACTGAAGGAAGCAGAGACAGTCATTCAAGATAATTTTTGATTAAAGGTTTATAGTAGAATGGTACTTTTATATCACATACACTCAGGGTTATATTTTAATTGTTTAAAACAAAATCTGCTTCTAGTTCTATACTACTGATTAGTAATATATACTGTTTGTAATAGAAACACACAACGTGTGTTCGCTTTGGCCCTAAAACTGTGCTTATCCAGTGAAGGGCTTGAATCCAAGACATTGGGATTGAAAGGTCCACAATTTATCAGCTGAGCTAACATATTATTTCAGTCCATTCCCTTGCCTGCTTGCTTTCCTCCTTGTGTGTTCTATACACTGGGAACTAAATTCTGACTGTCCTTTCTGGGCAGGTAAGTTAGGGACAAAGGGGTACACATGGAATATGCAGCATGCCATGCATGAGTGAGTCAGAATACAGACCTAAACTTTCCTTGCACTGTAAGGCTATGTGATGTCTAATGTGTAACCCCTATTCATTTCTTGCATCAAGTAACATAAGATAAGAGTAAGAACCCAATAAGTTTCTCCAAAGCTGCTCTTTGAAGAACTTTGAGCCATTATGTTTAGATTTCTCAAAAAGCAGAAAAAGTGGCCCCTGAAATCTGTTTGTTTAGCTTCTCGTATGAGCACTTATCAGTATGATTACTTATCACTATAGTACCTTAACAAATCACTTTGCAATTACATCTCTACTCCCATCTGCTTCCTATCACAACAGAAGTTAGAAAGTAGCCTCTGATGCATACTGCATTCACCTAAGCTTGTTCTCAATAATAGGAATAACAAGATAATGGGACAAGAGATATCTACGTTGAGAATAATTATTGAGTGCACGTCCTACAAGAACATATTCCTCAGTCTGAAAAATAGAATATGGATGTCAGGATATGCACATCTCAGGATACCAAAAAATGTCGCTTGTCTTTGATCAGTCACCAGCAAGAGAAAAATACAGAAGAGATATAGGTCAAGGACTAATCTTTCTAATTGTCTGTACTTAATGGACCATATTTTTGGGTACTCTCTGTGCACGTGTATGAATCTATTTAGCTGCTTTGGTTTTGTGTGCTTTGGTTTTGTGTGTGTGTGTGTGTGTGTGTGTGTGTGTGTTCCATGTCCCTTCTATCTTAGGGGTTTTTAATATTTTGCAGAAGTCAGAAGTACGTTCTTCAATATGCACACATTTTACTTTCAGATACAATATTCACAGCCTAAATACCCTCCATCCTTACTCCTCCCCCCCGCCACCAGTGTCTTGTCCTACAGAAACTATTTCAGTCTCAAGCAGAAAAAAATCACTGTGTATTCACCATATTCACACTGCTGCTCTTGTTCAAAAACAGATGACCATTTGACAATACCTGCATTTGTTCTCTTTCAGGTCGTTCAGCTACCTCTGCTATTTTCTGCAGAATTATGTATTTGTTATCAGCCAATGATGTGAACAGTAGCTTCAGGTCATTCTAAAAAGAGACAATGTTCAAATGAAGTTTTAAAAGAGAAAATTATATCCAATCAAAACTCACATAACCATAACCTTTGTCTTTTCCCAAAGAAGAGCAGATCGCTTATTGACACGATTGAATACATTTTTAGCAAATGGTATGTTACTTGAGTGTATTGAAAATGGGAATTATAAACACTAATGGATTCATCTGTTGTGTATTGATTTGGATGTTCGATGTACAAAGTGTTTCAAACCACACAAGACATTGTTGTCAACCCCCCCAAAAAAGTGAAACTACTATTATGCAAGTGTAACTTGTAGAGAAAAACGACTATGTCTTTCCATTCCATTCCAATTTGACAATATAAATTCATACTTCCCTTAAGAATGAAGTATGTAACAACAATGAATAAATTATGGCTTAAATGCTTGTAAATCCCTCATTTTAGCTTCCAGACTTCTTTTTCTTATAAAAAAATATCTTGTTATTTATAAACTGAGCAAATCTAACACAGAAGTCAGCAGGAGACAACAAACATGGAATGCAAGCATTATTGCCACATTTTCAGAGTTACTTGGCACATCAGAATTACATTTTAATCTGATTGCTGTTTTTTAGAGCTACTCTTAATTAATTCTTAGTACTTTCTTCTCTGTTCACAAATTTATCCCAGGTGTCCCACAATACTGGAAAGCATCACCACATTTTCAAATGCACCCAGCAATTACAGAAAATAACTGAGATTTATTTTTATTTTCAGATGACGACTTCTTATACAATAGTATCTATGGTACTGTAACAATATATACTTCTGATCTCTTTTCTCTATCAGAGTTAGGTGTTTTACACCTAATACTTGTTACTAGTACTTGTTTCATTTATACCAGAACAAAGCATCTCTACAGACAATAGATGACTGTATATAAATAAAACAGATACTCTTTGTTACACTCTTGAACATTATGAAAATTCTTTTAAAATACTCATTTGATTCTTGATCATGATCTAAACAGACAGAAGGCATTGAATACAGGCAGTCCCCGGGTTACGTACAAGATAGGGACTATAGGTTTGTTCTTAAGTTGAATCTGTATGTAAGTCAGAACTGGAGTCCAGATTCAGCCGCTGCCAACTTAAGAACCCCAGGCATCCCTAAGTCAGCTGCTGCTGAAACTGATCAGCGGCTGATTCCAGGAAGCCCCAGGCAGGGGCTTCCTGTAGTCAGAAACTGACCAGCAGTGGCTGAATCAGGACGCCTGGGGCAGAGCAGCTGGGGTGCTGCCGGGTTAGTCCCGTAGCGCCCAGAGCGGCGCTACAGGACCAACCGGCAGCGCCCCAGATGCTGTACCACAGGCGCCCGGAGCAAAAATGGCCATGTGATTTTCTGAAATATGCTTATGTTTAATATGCTTGCTTTTTGCCACATGCTGCTAGAGAGCTTACCTCTGTCTTGTAGAAGCGATGGATTGCACTACTCAGAGCACAGCCAACATATCCCTCTGCTGCATCTGGATTGTGGAGAAATCTAATTTCCAGAGGAATGGAGTCTTCCCCCAGGTCAATCGATTGGGTGAGGACATGAGTGGTCCAGTCCCACACGTTAATGTAACGGCCATAGCGCCCTGAGAGATCAAGTCAAACAAAATCAAGTCAGGAGAGTTGATTTTAGTTATAGCAGTTGTTGGAGGTTCTAATAAGTAACTAACTTATTAAAGTGACTGGCAGTGTATGCTTAATAGGGATGTTAGTGTTAGAGGGAGCAGCACGGGGTTGGATGGAGCAGGGGGGGAGCTGATGTGTGTGGGGAGTCGGCTTTTAAGCTGGCTCTCCATGCCTGCCTCCCCTGCAGCCTCTGTATCAGAGATAGCAGGGGAGTGGTTTGGGGAGAGGGAACTGGTGCTCATAGAATCATAGAGTTGGAAGAGACCTCAGGAGGTCAAGTCCAACCCACTGCCCAAAGCAGGACCAATCCCAACTAAATCAACCCAGCCAGGGCTTTGTCAAGCCGAGACAAACATCTCTAGGGATGGATATTCCACCACCTCCCTAGGTAACCCATTCCAGTACTTCACCACTCTCCTAGTGAAATAGTGTTTCCTAATATCCAACCTAGACCTCCCGCACTGTAACTTGAGACCATTGCTCCTCGTTCTGCCATCTGTCACTACTACGAACAGCGTTTCTCCATCCTCTTTGGAACCTCCCTTCAGGAAGTTGAAGGCTGCAATCAAATCCTCCCTCACTCTTCTCTTCTGCAGACTAAACAAACCCAAATCCCTCAGCCTCTCCTCATAGGTCATGTGCTCCAGCCCCCTAATGATTTTGGTTGCCATCTGCTGGACCCTTTCCAATGCAAGCTGGATTTTATGAATATTGGCCAAACTGGACAATCTCTGCAACAAAGGATAAATGGACACAAGTCAGATATCAGAAATGGTAATACACAGAAACCTATAGGAGAACATTTTAACCTATCTGGCCATCCTACCTGGAAGGTGAGTACTTGCTGAAGTCTCTCTTTCATCTGATGGCACCTCTGGTTTATGACTGACTCCAGGATGATTAGTCTTCCCAGCAGACAGTCCAAAGTGTCCTCTATAACATCTCTATTATCACTGTTCTCAGGAAATGTTTGAGAAAACAAATTCTTGTTTTTATCCATTTCTTCTGACATCTCTTTGATATCTTTGGCAAGAGACTGACGTTTTTAGAGAAGAACAAACAATTTTTGTAATTAGACACTAACAAATAGACAAGCCTACTGCAATGCTGCAACTACCACTCCTTTTGGAATGTTATACTTTAAAACCATGCTAAACACTCAGGAAATCTTTTCAATATCAATAAAAGGCTATTACTCCGAGAAAAAAAGCTTGTGATAATGGAAGGGAACAATTAGCCTGAACAAGGGCTGTCCTGTGTCCAGCTACTGCAGAATGAAACCTTCTTCTCTCTCACTCATGTAGAGTCTGGTCTATTTTCACTGTGCAAAGACCCAATGGCTACATCCGACCCTGTAGCTTGTGGCTTGTTTACTTTAGACTATTCCCTCCAATGTAGTGGCCTGGTTTTGAAATCAATGTTATATCATCTTTCTATAGAAGCCTGCCAGTTTACTCTAGTCAAAAAGAGTAGGGACAAGGACTTCCAACGGTGTGTGATTTTATTTCTCTTCCAACTAGACAAATATTTGGTCAGATTCTACTTTCTGGTATCAAGCGACTCACTTTATTGTTAATGTGATGCACCTGAGAGCAGATTTTAGCCCATGTATGCAAGCTGTACTATCCATAGAATCATAGAAATATATGGTTCGTGGGGACCTCACAATATGTCAGTGTTTGTCAAAGTGGTCCGCGAAACCCCTTTAAGAAACCTGCTAACTGGCCACTCTGGTGTGTTTATTTACTGGCTCTGCAGCTGTGGAGCCCCATGGCTTCCATTGGCTCTGGTTCACTGATGGCAGCCAAGAGGAGCTGCAGGAAGCAGCATGGGCTTAGCTGACATTTTTCATTGCTCAATGGGAGCCATGAGGCTCTGTGGCCATGAAGCCGTTAAATAAACACACCGGAGCGGCCAGTTAGCAGGTTTCTCAAAGTGGTTTTGTGGACCACTTTGAGAAACACTACAAGAGGTAATAAAATCCATCCCCCAATGCTGAAGTGGGACCAATTAAACCTAACAAGTGTTTGTACAATCTTAAAAACCTCCAATGATGGGGAACCCACAACTTCCCTTGGAAGCCTCTTCCAGGACTTCATTACCCTTACAGTTTGGGAAAAAATATTCTAACATTAACCTAAATTTCTTTTCACTGCTAATTAAGCCAATTTCTTTTTTTCTTAACTTTGATGGATGTGGAGAACAATATTTTATATATCTGAAGAGTTCTCTCTCTACCCAGCCTTCTCTTCTGTAAACTAACATGGCCATATTTTTAATCATTCATAATAAACAGTTTTCTAAATCTTTTATTATGTTTACTGCTGTCCTCTGGGCTCTTTCCAGTTTGTCCAAATCTTCCTTAAACTGTGATGCCCAAAACTGAACACAGTACTCCAGCTGAGCCCTCATTAGTGCCAAGCAAAATGGAACAACTAACACCAGTGTTTCACATGTAACATTCCAGAATACATTCCTGAATGCCATTTGCTTTTATCATAACTACATCATGCCATCCACTTATATTCGACCCAAGAACCTTTTCAGCAGTTTTCCTGCTCATTTATACTCCATTTTGTATCTATACACCTAATTTTTCCTTTGAAGTACAGTATTCTGCATTTCTCTTTACTGGATTTCATCTTATTGACTTCAGACCAGTTCTAAAATTTATCAAGATAATTTTGAACTGTAGTCTTGTTCTCCACAGAGCATGCAACTCTAATGTGATGTGATCTGGAAATTGTATAATGTCGCTGAGAAACTGCTAGCTCTCCTACCTCCTCTCCACCTTTAGATTTCCTTCATGTAGCAATTCTCTAAGTCTGTTGATATCTGCTTTTGTGAAGTCCCTTATCCTTACGATAACCAAGTCTTAACTGGCAGAGTTTTCCAACTGCATTCAGTTATGCAAAACTATTATTCTAGAAATAAAACAACAAATGGTCTGGTAGCACTTTATAGACTAACAAAACATGTAGATGGTATCATGAGCTTTCGTGGGTCTGTCTTACTCTTATTCTAGAGTCTTACTTCTCACTCAAACATAAAGCAAAACAGAAACTGCTTGCAAAACTAAAAACACTTACTTCCTGGTTACACAGACAAGTTTCTGTCTCTTCTGGAAGCAAGGCTGTAGCAACAAACAAGCATTCTTCAACACCATCAAGCCAAGAAGAGGTGGCTGAGAGGCTATCATACAACTTCTGTTCCAAGTGCAGGCTTTCCTTCTCTCTGGTTCCAGCCTGAGTTGAAAGAAGACAAAGTGATGAGGAGAGTCTACCAGTTCATACTGCCTCCACACAGAAAAGCCAAATATACCTTACTATAATGGTCACTGGTTCTCTAGTGTTAAAGGAAGCTCTCTACTCATTGCCAGGTAGGAAGTAGAGAGGTCATCACCTTGGATAGCAACTCTACTTAAGATTACATTTAGAAACAAACAATGCCACTGTACCTGAGAAGAGACATCTTCAAAGGCCTTGTTCAAACCAACAATTATAGATTCAACTGATGATTTATCTTGTGCCGGTCCTTCCCCTTTATACAATGGTATGCCAGATATCAGTCTGTTTGGTCTGTTGTAAAGCTGTTAGGAAGCAAATACTGGTTAGAGATTTTCTGATACAAACTGGATCTCTCATATGAAAATATAGATAGCATGACTGGCTGAGGAGCCCCACCAGCAATAAGTAATTCACACATGTACCACAAAGTTATCAATTCATATTGCCTGAAAGGTGTTCACACTGGCAGTTCACAGCATTTATGGAGAGCATATCTGGGCTAGAGCTGGCAATAAGATATGAATACCCAGAAGTGCTGAAGTGGTAATACTGTTTATAATCGGAAAACTACAGTTAATGCACCATTCCGGAACAGAGCACTAAGCCAATGCCCAATAAGAGAAAAAGTATTACCCAATCCCATGGCTGAGTGTCGAAGCTAGACAAATTCTTGTCTGCCTTACATTGGCACTGACTCCAAAGCTGGAGCACCCAGGGGAAAAAAATAGTGGGTCTTCAGCTGCTTTTTTTAAAAAAAATGAATCAGGACAAATGAGTGGACAATGAGGATCACAACTTTTATGTTGTACCATATATTTTTAATCAACAAAACCAGCTAGATTTGCACATAAGGCCCATCCAGCTCCTATTAAGGTTAGTGGAAAAGTTTTCACTGGGTTTTATGTGAGTGGAGTCAATCCCATAGAGTGTCTGTGTAAACATGCACCCTCATCACTTTTCTCATTCTTCTTTCCTCATTCTGTTTGTTGCTAAGCTTGCTGCATTTCACTTTAAACTGGGCTGCAAGATGGAACCTGTTTCTTGCCCTATGTACAACATCTTACACAAGAGGGCCCCAATCTTAAGTGGGGCCACTGGGTGCTACTAAAATAGAAATAAACTAATAACAATTATTTTTAATCTCAGCTAGACCTGGCATATTTGGCAGATGGCTCTGCTTACATATAAAGTCAAGTCTCAAAGGGGTAGCTATATTCGTCTGTAACTAAAAAACAACAATGGTCCTGGAACACCTTGCTTACAAAAAAACCCAAACAAATAGTATCATGAGATTTTGTGGGCCCAATCCACTTCTTCAGATGACAAATATTTGTCATCTGAACATATAGAGCTCCTTCTCAAAGGTGATCTTTGATCCATGCAAATTCTGAACCATTTACATCTTGTGGTAAAACTCTGAGTGAAATCCAGGCTTCTTTGAGGTCAACAAGCTGAATGGGACCAGAATCCCATCCAATGAGTTTAAACTCAGACAGAAATTCTCTGATTTATTCTAGATTCACCCAGTGTAACACAACTGAATTCAGTAGACCTACTACAGAATTATATTGGAATAAAGGAGAGAGAGACTTGGTTTATAATTTCCTAGAACTTTTATGGGTTTTTCAGATGTATGCAAGCGTGTGATTCTAAACATTAATAACACTTCTAGCACTGGCTAATTTGTAAAATTTTACAAATATTATTTATGTTCCTTGAACTGACTATTTTTAAAAAGTAAGGCATTTGCTATGCATATACTATACTTTATGCACTCTGCTACACACTTTATATACATGAGTAAATAGAGAAATTAAAAATAGTTACTGGCTGTTCCTCTTCCTGTTCCAATGCATTCTGTAGCAGTCTCTGTTTGGTGCTGAATTCCTGGTGCAGGCATTCCCATTTCATCTTCATCTGATCTTCAGCTATTGATTTCTCACCTTCTAAGCCTAACTCCTGAGATAGCACATCAGCCTTTTCACTGTGATAAAGAAAAGAAAAGAAAAAAAAACAGTTAAGCTCAAACAATACAGGAAGTATTCAAATGAAAAGTGTTTCTTGCCCCTTTCAATTTTTATTGTTTTACATAATTCAAAATTGAATTAAATGCCTTTTTAAAATGTTTTTACTTGTGCTTGCAAGCAGCAAAACGAAGGGTACATTTAGAACAGAAATAAGTACTAGGGTTGCTAGGTGTCTGGTTTTGAACTGGACAGTCCAGTATTTGAGCTTTCTGTTCAGGAAACAAATTGAGAAAATATAAATGAGAAAATATAAATGTCTGGTATTTTCTAAATAAGATGTAATATAGATTGTGATGTAATGTCACGTGTGTCTGGTATTTTTGTTGAAATCATCTGGCAACCCTAAGTACTCAAACTGAACTCTTTAAGAACTACATGGAGCTGCAAACACTAATATAAGCTCACAAATATACATATAACCCCCCAAATTGATGAAAAAATATATTAAATTTGAATGTAAATTCTAAATCAGATTTTATTTCTAAGAATGAGAAGTTGTAATGATCTAAATCACTAGTTATTAATTTGAGTCAACTGCCTCAACATACCCTATTTTTCTGCATGTCAAACATGTTACCTGCACCTTTCTAAACAAAAGGTTACGTTCAACTTTCCCCATTCTTTTATAATCAAGTTCAGGGATAAGGCTGTGAATGTGGGTAACTGGAAACCAACTGTTTCACAACTACTGTAGGATTGGGTTGAAGCCCAAATTTGGATTTTCAATTATTACAATTTCTTGTTGTAAATAGTAACCCAGGAGTAAAACAACCTGTTGAGAGTAACTGAATTTCTTCCCCTGCTGAGTCACTTCACCAGCACTGGTTTTTAAGCGGAAGTCCCTAATGTTGAGCTCTATTATCCTATGAGCCAGCTTTATGCCTCACAGACTTTGGCACATTGCAGAAGCCATAGCATTATTTAGGCAGCTCTGAGAACAGTTTAATTTATGGCATCCTACCTGCTCCACTCACAGGGCTGCAAATGGCAATCTAGGATTCTCTACCATCACCAGCTCCCCGCTGCCCCTAGACATGATCCCATGCCAACGCTTGCTCAAGCAAGTTGTATCCATCTTCCAGTTTGTATTTCTCTCCCAGCCTGAATCAAGGCCTGACATAAATGGTTCAGAGTGAGGGTGAGAAAATCACCCTATGGCTCAAAATTCAAGGGACACTCCGAGTTCCAAAGATAAAAGTCTTAATTTACTTCATGCAGAGAAAAATTAATTTAGAGAGGTTTCAGTTGTTTATTAGATTATGCTTTCAGATCACAATGGTCTAGGATATTATTATTTGCTTGTATTATCATAGCAGCTAGCAGCCCTAAGCATGGACCAGGGCCCCATTCTGCTCGGCTCTGTATAAACACAGACAGAATAAAAATCACAGAAGAAAATGTGGAAGAAACAGACAGAAGCACGGAAGCCAAAGAGTGACCCCTGCTGAAAAAATAATGTATTGAAGCTTACCTAGCCTGAAGGCTGTCAGGAGCAGAATGTTGGGTTAGAATTTCTTCTCCACGGCTTGCTACTGAACGGAGTAGGTTCTTCTGCTCTGCCAGCTCTTGTTCTAGCTCCTAACAGGGAACATAGACTGCTTTGTTAATAGCTTTTTAAAAAATTTCTGATTGTGAAGACATGTTTTTATCTTTCTTAACTATCAGAGCCAGACAACTAGCAAAAATAAATGCTCATGATAGACCTATTTATCTATGTCCACAGTCTTTCAAAAATGATGTAGATGTTCATAGTCTACCCCCACTGTTATTGAGGTGAATTACCTCAAAAAACCAATGTAGTATTTATATGACTCAGTTGTGCCAAACCACAGGGGTATATGTATCTATTGTCTCCATCAAGACAACAGCGGAGCACTTCAGATCCCTAATAAATGCATCCGTGCAATGCCTCTGTGAATAAGGTAAGTATTATCCTCAATGTACAGATGGGGAACAGAGGCATAGTGAGATTAAGTGACTTCACAGGAAATAGCAGTACAGCCAGAAACAGAACACGGACCTCCTGGGTCCCAATTCAGTGCCATAAACACAAAGGCATCCTTAATCTGGTCTGGCTGGCTCTATCAGATGTATGACTGGAGGGGCAAGGAAAGGTCAACTGTACCATTATGGCACAGCTGTCAGTAAGGAGTAGTGCAAAACCACAAAACCACTGTGCAAACACTAGGACCATGGTGCCCAACACACTAGCCATATGTGGTTATTTGGATGGTTGAGTGTGACTAGTTCACTATAGCAGTAGCCACTCTAGTCATTACTGTTTCAGAACTGGCTGGACACCATGATTCCAGGAAGAACTCTGCCATGGGCTCAGGGGCAGATGACCGTTTTGCGGGGTCCCGGGCAGCATAATTCCGCGGGGCCCCCCCTTTGCCACGGCGCATGGCACCTGCGCAGGGCTTTTTGAAGCGCGGGGCCCAGGGTGGCCGCCCCGCTCGCCCTGCCCTATATCCGCCCCTGCATGGGCTCACAATCTCTTTAGTGTTCCAGGTGTGCAGCATAATGCAGGATGCTAGAACAAAGCTTTAAGGCCCTGATCCAGAAAGTATTAAACACATAAGTAATTTGCTAAGCTGGGGCCTTAGAGTCTTTGGTGCTATAGAAATCCCAATTGTGAGCAAGCAGTGTAAACATGTCCCCACATACACTCAGTGCATTGGAAGGAGCTGATCCTGTGCTTAGCATAAAGAAAAGAAAAAAAAACAGTTAAGCTCAAACAATACAGGAAGTATTCAAATGAAAAGTGTTTCTTGCCCCTTTCAATTTTTATTGTTTTACATAATTCAAAATTGAATTAAATGCCTTTTTAAAATGTTTTTACTTGTGCTTGCAAGCAGCAAAACGAAGGGTACATTTAGAACAGAAATAAGTACTAGGGTTGCTAGGTGTCTGGTTTTGAACTGGACAGTCCAGTATTTGAGCTTTCTGTTCAGGAAACAAATTGAGAAAATATAAATGAGAAAATATAAATGTCTGGTATTTTCTAAATAAGATGTAATATAGATTGTGATGTAATGTCACGTGTGTCTGGTATTTTTGTTGAAATCATCTGGCAACCCTAAGTACTCAAACTGAACTCTTTAAGAACTACATGGAGCTGCAAACACTAATATAAGCTCACAAATATACATATAACCCCCCAAATTGATGAAAAAATATATTAAATTTGAATGTAAATTCTAAATCAGATTTTATTTCTAAGAATGAGAAGTTGTAATGATCTAAATCACTAGTTATTAATTTGAGTCAACTGCCTCAACATACCCTATTTTTCTGCATGTCAAACATGTTACCTGCACCTTTCTAAACAAAAGGTTACGTTCAACTTTCCCCATTCTTTTATAATCAAGTTCAGGGATAAGGCTGTGAATGTGGGTAACTGGAAACCAACTGTTTCACAACTACTGTAGGATTGGGTTGAAGCCCAAATTTGGATTTTCAATTATTACAATTTCTTGTTGTAAATAGTAACCCAGGAGTAAAACAACCTGTTGAGAGTAACTGAATTTCTTCCCCTGCTGAGTCACTTCACCAGCACTGGTTTTTAAGCGGAAGTCCCTAATGTTGAGCTCTATTATCCTATGAGCCAGCTTTATGCCTCACAGACTTTGGCACATTGCAGAAGCCATAGCATTATTTAGGCAGCTCTGAGAACAGTTTAATTTATGGCATCCTACCTGCTCCACTCACAGGGCTGCAAATGGCAATCTAGGATTCTCTACCATCACCAGCTCCCCGCTGCCCCTAGACATGATCCCATGCCAACGCTTGCTCAAGCAAGTTGTATCCATCTTCCAGTTTGTATTTCTCTCCCAGCCTGAATCAAGGCCTGACATAAATGGTTCAGAGTGAGGGTGAGAAAATCACCCTATGGCTCAAAATTCAAGGGACACTCCGAGTTCCAAAGATAAAAGTCTTAATTTACTTCATGCAGAGAAAAATTAATTTAGAGAGGTTTCAGTTGTTTATTAGATTATGCTTTCAGATCACAATGGTCTAGGATATTATTATTTGCTTGTATTATCATAGCAGCTAGCAGCCCTAAGCATGGACCAGGGCCCCATTCTGCTCGGCTCTGTATACACACAGACAGAATAAAAATCACAGAAGAAAATGTGGAAGAAACAGACAGAAGCACGGAAGCCAAAGAGTGACCCCTGCTGAAAAAATAATGTATTGAAGCTTACCTAGCCTGAAGGCTGTCAGGAGCAGAATGTTGGGTTAGAATTTCTTCTCCACGGCTTGCTACTGAACGGAGTAGGTTCTTCTGCTCTGCCAGCTCTTGTTCTAGCTCCTAACAGGGAACATAGACTGCTTTGTTAATAGCTTTTTAAAAAATTTCTGATTGTGAAGACATGTTTTTATCTTTCTTAACTATCAGAGCCAGACAACTAGCAAAAATAAATGCTCATGATAGACCTATTTATCTATGTCCACAGTCTTTCAAAAATGATGTAGATGTTCATAGTCTACCCCCACTGTTATTGAGGTGAATTACCTCAAAAAACCAATGTAGTATTTATATGACTCAGTTGTGCCAAACCACAGGGGTATATGTATCTATTGTCTCCATCAAGACAACAGCGGAGCACTTCAGATCCCTAATAAATGCATCCGTGCAATGCCTCTGTGAATAAGGTAAGTATTATCCTCAATGTACAGATGGGGAACAGAGGCATAGTGAGATTAAGTGACTTCACAGGAAATAGCAGTACAGCCAGAAACAGAACACGGACCTCCTGGGTCCCAATTCAGTGCCATAAACACAAAGGCATCCTTAATCTGGTCTGGCTGGCTCTATCAGATGTATGACTGGAGGGGCAAGGAAAGGTCAACTGTACCATTATGGCACAGCTGTCAGTAAGGAGTAGTGCAAAACCACAAAACCACTGTGCAAACACTAGGACCATGGTGCCCAACACACTAGCCATATGTGGTTATTTGGATGGTTGAGTGTGACTAGTTCACTATAGCAGTAGCCACTCTAGTCATTACTGTTTCAGAACTGGCTGGACACCATGATTCCAGGAAGAACTCTGCCATGGGCTCAGGGGCAGATGACCGTTTTGCGGGGTCCCGGGCAGCATAATTCCGCGGGGCCCCCCCTTTGCCACGGCGCATGGCACCTGCGCAGGGCTTTTTGAAGCGCGGGGCCCAGGGTGGCCGCCCCGCTCGCCCTGCCCTATATCCGCCCCTGCATGGGCTCACAATCTCTTTAGTGTTCCAGGTGTGCAGCATAATGCAGGATGCTAGAACAAAGCTTTAAGGCCCTGATCCAGAAAGTATTAAACACATAAGTAATTTGCTAAGCTGGGGCCTTAGAGTCTTTGGTGCTATAGAAATCCCAATTGTGAGCAAGCAGTGTAAACATGTCCCCACATACACTCAGTGCATTGGAAGGAGCTGATCCTGTGCTTA